CAGCCACGCTATCCTGACAAAGCTTTCTTCGAGAGGAAGTGGGATCAGCCATCCGCATCCATATCCTCTTGGCGCTGACAGGAACCTTGCAGAGGTCCGCCTTGGTATGCAGCTCGACATGACGTGCCGACAGAAGTTTGGCTCCTTTGCACACCGCTGAGCTGGGAGGCGATGATGTAAAGCGGAGCTCCTCATCCAGGTGGCTGCCGATGCCGGCCCACAAAGTGGGGCTGACACTGACATTGGCGCCAAGCGGCCTGCGCATGTCGTCGTAAAGAGAGGACAGCCAGGGCCTTAAAGTGGGCATGCCGTGCAGAATCCATTGAAGCAGGCCGAGGAGCTTGTCAAGGTGCTTGCGGGAGACCTGGCGGTGTCGAAGGCAATCTGAAACAACCTCATAAAGCTTGTTGCGCTTAGCTTCTGGGAGTGGGAAGCAAGCGGAAGACAGGTTGATCTCCCAACCAATCCACGTTTTGTCTGACCCAGTTGAAGCTTTTTCCAAGACAGCTAAATCTTAAAGCATGCACAAAAGGTCAAAGCCGCGGAAAGCGGTAAGACTCTGCTGCTCTGAAAGAGAAGTAGATCATCGACATAAAGCAGGAGAACGTGAGATATCCATATCCATATCAATAAGTGGAGGCACCTGGTGAAGAACCCACCAATGCGGGCGAACCAATGGCTCGAAAAAGTGGCCCCGAAGGGACAAACGCGATAGAAAAGCAGTCGCTCCTGCCGTCTCATGCCCAAAAGCCCAATGTCGCGCTCACGTACCCTGGACGTCTTGTGAGCGCCTTTCACGTCGAGGCTAAAGCCCTTGCCCTCTTCATTGTCTTCCCTAAGCGGGAAAGCGGATTGTATATCCTGTAAGCTGGGGAGACTGAATTGCCCTGTGCCTGACAGCATTGATTTGTATTGCATATGCTGTTGTCAACCACTAAGCGGGGGCTGCGGCCGGGTGCTTTGACGATGTTGACTTTCCCGACCGCCACCCGATCTTTTCCCCATCGCTGAAAAGCGGTTTCGAGGTCTGGCATGACCTCAAGGTACCCCGCTTCTATTTCTTCCTCTACAAGCTGCTGTAGTAAAGCGGGGTCCTCTTCTGCGCCTTTCCAGTTTCCCTCGCATATAAGAAGCTGGTGGCCTTCGTCAGTATCGGAATCACGACGAGGCCGAAGCGTGTAGCTCCGGGGTATATCCCCGTCAAACCCTGTTGGCACACCTTGAAGCAGTGCTGGAAAGAGGGATGTGTCTTTGTCTGCTACCAAGTGGCTGAGTCGCGACAAAGCTGACAGGCAGTACGGCTGTCCCTCAGGGACAGAGAAATCCCAGTCCTGGGAAAGCGAGTGCCGGTCGGAAAAGCGTTTGAAAGACTGCTGCAACCATGCAGTTTCGCTCTCAGAGAAAAGCGGTGAGTCGCGATGCTCCGAAACGTGCTGAGCGAGTCTTTCGGGAATGTGCTTTTCCAGAAGCCACTGCCGCCACTCCTTGCGTAGGTAGCAAAGAAGATCCGACTGATACCTGGGGCCGTAGGACCAGTCTGGGGTATGCATTGCAGTGCAAAGCTGAGCGAACAAAGCGCCGTCTTTTCGTGGATGATGTAACCACAAAAAAGAGGATTTATAAGCTTGCTGTAGTGCAGAGCCAAAGCTGTAGGGTACGCTGCGGTGCGCTGGGACAGAAAGTTGCCTTGTGCATCCCTTGTGCCAATGACTGAAGCATGTTGGCCCTGGTGGGAGCATGTAGCCGCCATAGCCTTAAGTGGGGCAAAGCTGGAGGCGAACAACCATTGCTTTGCAACATCAACGCCCACTGAACAAGCAGCAACCACTGAAAGCGTGGCCTGTATCTCTGAAAGGAAATCCTGAACGAAGGGTTCGAGCCAGGCCATAGAGTTAGCTGGCTGTTCCAGGGAAACGTGACCACCTGAAGCGAAAACAGCGCGTAGTACACAAACCGAGCGATACATCGGTTGCTGACTGGTGAGTACACGTTGCTGCTGCTCTGTAGTGTTCTCTGGAAAGCCGTTGAGGAACTCCGGGCTCCGAATGGCCTGGGGGCCGCCTGGCCTAAGCTTCAAGCGGGAGTACTCCTTGCACGGTGGGGCTGCATG